AAAAAAAACACAAAAAAAAAGGATTTTGGGCCCCACACTAAATTTAAAAAAAAATTTAAACCCCCCCCCCCCCCAGTATTTGATTCTGGATGACGATGGATCTATATGACAAGTTTGATCCAGATCCTTCAATGCATGTAGGAACCTATGGGGAAAACAATCCAATTGGCACTTTATTTACAAATATACGATATTACCAGAATGAGTCCGTAGCTTGTTGACCTACGCTGAGAACATTCCTGCCACGGGCGTCCATGCAATCACGTATACCATAATCCAAACTTTAAGTAATTCAATCATGTATACCATAGTCCAGTGTTTACCAACGTGGTGTCCACGCCCACGGGGGTGGGGTGGGGGCAATTTGATTGTTAAGGGGGACAATTTGAAAATGAACTGTCCAGAATTCGAAAACCAACCGTCTTGTGGCGCATTTAGGGCCAAACATTGACGTCATATGACGTCATATTATTTCAGATTAAATTACTTTCACACATTAAAGAGAAACTTTGGAAAAAGAACAATCTTAAAGTCTCTGTTTACTACTCATAATTCAACTGTCTCTTGAGGCTACTTAGGATTTCTTTACTCGTTGCTAAATCTGGGTGAAATCCTACTATAGGACAGAATTTGATCAAACCATCAATTAGCAGCATTTCTCAAAACTTTTTCTGGAAAAAGATGACAAAGCCGCGAAAGCTATGTCACTCAGTAGCAATACTGTTAGCAAAAACGAAAAACGAAATAAGTGAATATTTTAAAATACAACTTGCTGAAAAGCTGAAAACAAAAAAATATTCTCAGTGCCAATGGAGGAATCCACTTTGAGAGACTGTGAGGCCGTACTGATAACTTACTTAAGATACATTGATACAGGAGATTTTGCTGAAGAAATGTTGTTCTGTAAATCACTATAAAGCGCCAATACTGCCAAAGACATAGATATATATATACAGTGACCTGAAAAATTACTTAGATATCAATAATATACCAATGAAAAATTTTAATAAATATAATATTTTGTGCTGCAGATGGTGCTCCTATTATGATAAACAAAAAAAAATGGCTGCTTTAAATTGATAAGGATGAGAATCCAGAAATGCTTCTTGTGCAATGTGTTATTCATGGGAAAAATTGGTAGCTAAAAATATTTCGTCTGTTCTCAATGAACTACTAAATTCCGTTATAAAGTTTGTCAATGCTATTAAAGCTAATGTCAAATGCGAAAGTCTATTAAGCTATTTTGTGAAGAAAAAATGCAGACCATGTGAGACTTTGACGTCACACTGAGGTAAGGTGGCCCTCGAAGGGAAACAGGTTAAGAAGATGTATGGAACTATTTAAATTTGATACTCTTGGCCTGAGTCTTGGAGACTTTAATTAAGTGATACACCTGAAATGAAGTACCTGTTAACAGCTGATGGTAAAGCATTTCTGAGTTATTTAGCCAATATCTTTGACAAACTTAATCTATTAAATAACCAACTTCAAGGAGCAAATAAAACTCATGTCGATGAAAAAGTGAAGATATTTGTTTTCATTACATTTAATGAATTATGTCACAAATATGTTTGTAACAAAAATGTTGAAAAGTTTCATTTGCCCAAAAAGTGGGAACTGATTGATACCGCTATACTTGATATTGTCCATTATCTTAAAATTTTGACAGCTGATTTAAAGGAAAGATTTTAACAATTGTTAAACAAATTGATTTTTTCATTTTGCTGATGAAGCTAATGTTAGTGGATTCGTCTGATATTTCAGACACGCAATATCAAGAATAACTCGTAGAAATGCAATATGATGAGTCTGTTAAAACTTTATTTAATATGAAAGGGGTGATGGCATGGCTTTGTGAACAAACGGAAATTAAATATACAAATTCGAACAAATGTGCAAGAACAGCTGTTGCTACCTTTCTTTTCTGTGTGCTGCAAAGATCAAGCGCAAGTGTCTCACTAAATTCATCATCTCATACTGTATATATCATCTCTCATTGTATTTTAAACAAGATATGTTTTAAAAATTTACTTACTGTGTTTCCTTAAAAATTAATTCGTAAATCCTAATCATTCCTAACGCCATTTTCCTTCTTCCTAAAACCTGTCATTTAGTTTTCAATTGGTGAACAGTTCAATTTTTGAATATTAAAAATTATTCGTGTATAATATATAGATATAAGAGTAGTAGTAGTAGTTTTCTATAGCGCGGTACCCAAGCCTAGGACTGGGCTCACCACGCTGTACAATTTAACAACCAAAATCATGATCTTAAAAACTAACATAAAATAATTCAATATAACACGGGGCATAGGAAATTTAGAAAGGCTTAGGTGGGGCATGGCAAAAAAATCATTGGGAAACACGATACCATAGCCCAATAGCTAAGTAATACAATCATAGTCCAGAAATACAATCATAGTGCCATATCTAAGTAATAAAATAATAGTTCCGTATCTCAGTAATACAATCATGAATATCATAGCACAGTCTAATATCAAAGTAAAACAATCATTTCCAATATCTAAGTAATACCATCATGTATACTATAGAGACCGACCGAAAGTGATTTTCGGATTTCGGCCGAAGCCGAAAATAGGCCGAAATTTTAAAACGGTTTCAGTCGAATCTCACGGACTAGTCTAATTCTGATTTTTTTTTTTAAATGTTTCTATATATTTTTGTATGCCAGGTCTCTGGCAACAGTGAGTAGTTCTTGAGAACCCTTAATGATTTTAATGTTATTTATAAAGGTTGAGCAGATTGTAACAGTTGTAGTCGCTTTTTGTGGATTACTTGATGCGACCCACTCTCATTCAGACACTACCTCCTGTGCCCCCCTCCCCCAATGATTTGAGTTTGAGACCCTTGATCTAATGAATACTTTTATCATTTTAATATAAAAGTAATTTAAATTTCTTTACAATTTTTAAAAAAATTAGTATGGTAGGAGAAAATTTGGCAAAACTTTGGGGGGGGGGGGGGGAGGAGGAGAAATTAATGCAAAATATTATTTTTTTAAACAGGGTCTCTAAAAAATGTGGTTCTAAAAGATCGCTTAATTTGTTTTTAAAGATCGTTTAGTTGGTTGTTAGTGATCGGTTAGTTTCTACTTAAAGATCGGTGAGTTTGTTCATAAAGATCGCTTAGTTTGTTGTTAAAGATCGCTTACTTTGTTGTTAAAGATCGTTTAGTTTGTTGTTAAAGGTCGTTTAGTTTGTTGTTAAAGGTCGTTTAGTTTGTTGTTAAAGGTCGTTTAGTTTGTTGTTAAAGGTCGTTTAGTTTGTTGTTCAAGATGGTTTAGTTTGTTCATAAAGATTGCTTAGTTTATTCTTAAAGATCGTTTAGTTTGTTGTTAAAGATCACTTAGTTTGTTCTTAAAGATCGTTTAGTTTGTTCTTAAAGATCGCTTATTTTGTTGTTGAAGATCTTTTAGTTTGCTCATAAATATCGCTTAGTTTGTTGTTAAAGATCACTTAGTTTGTTGTAAAGATCTCTTAGTTTTTTCATAAAGATCCCTTAGTTTGTTCTTAAAGATAATTAATTTGGTTCCTTAAGATCGATTAGTTTGTTCTTGAAGATCTTTTAGTTTGTTCCTAAAGAACATTTAGTTTTCTGTTAAAGATCACTTAGTTTATTCTTATAAATCATTCAGTTTACTATTAAAGATCATTTGTTTTTTTCTTAAAGATCATTTAATTCGGTCTTAAAATCGTTTAGTTTGTTCTATAAGATCGTTTAGTTTGTTATTAAAGATCGCTTAGATTGTTCTTAAAGATCGCTTAGTTTGTTTTAAAGATCGTTTAGTTTGTTCTTAAATGTCCCTTAGTTTGTTGTTAAATATCGTTTAGTTTGTTCTCAAAGCTCACTTAATTTGTTCTTAAATGTCGCTTAGTTTGTTGTTAACTATCGCTTTCGCTGAGTATTAAATGACCGAAAACCTGAGTCACTTTCGGCCGAATGGCCGAAAGTCTAAGTCAATTTCGGCCAAAACCTAAGAAAAACCGAAATTTAACTATTCTCTTTCGGCCGAAACCAAAATTAAGCCGAAAGTTATCTTTTCAGTTTCGGCCGAAACCGAAACTTGGCCGAAAGTGTTAAAATGGCCACTTTCGGCGCCGAAAGCCAATCCGAAGCCAAAATTCGGTCGGTCTCTGGTATACTATAGCCCAATATCTAACTGATACCATCATGTATACCATAGTCCAATATCCAATTAAAAGAATCATATATACCATAGTCCAATGTCTAATCAATACAAACATAGCCCGATATATAAGTAAACAATCACGTAAACCCCAATCCAATACCCAAGTAATACAATCATATATACCATAATCCAATACCCAAGTAATACAATCATATATACCATAATCCAATACCCAAGTAATACAATCATATATACCATAGTCCAATACCCAAGTAATACAATCATATATACCATAGTCCAATACCCAAGTAATACAATCATATATACCATAACCGAAATTTTTAGTAATTCAATCTCGTATACCATAGTCCACTATATAAATAACACAATCATGCATAACATGGTTCAATATTTAAGTAATACAATGATGTATACTATTTTCCAATATCTTAGTAATAAAATTACGTATACAATAGTCTAATAACAAAGTAATACAATCATGTATACCATAGTCAAAGATCTCAATAATATGATCACAATCCCATATCTAAGTAATATAATCATAATCTCATATCTCATTTATACAACCACGTATACCATAGTCCAATGTCTAAGTAATACAATCACAGTCCCATATCCAAGCAATACAATCATGTATAACATAGTGCCACATTTAAGTAATACCATAATGTATACCATAGTCCAAAATCTAAGTAATACAATCATGAATATCATAGCATAGTCTAATGTCAAAGTAATACAATCATTTCCAATAATTAAGTAATATCATCATGTGTACAAAAGCACAATATCTAAGTGATACAGTCATGTATACCATAGCCCAACACTAAAGTAATACAAACATAGCCCAATATCTAAGTAATATAATCATTTAAACCCCAGTCCAATACCCATGTAATACAATCATATATACCATAACCGAATATATTAGTCATACAATCTCGTATGCCATAGTCCAATATATAAATAATACAATCATATATAACATAGTTCAATATTTAAGTAATACAATGATGTATACCATTTTCCAATATCTTAGTAATACAATCACGTATACCATAGTTTTAAAACAAAGTAATAAAATCATGTATACCATTGTCCAATATCTTAGTAATGCAATCATGACCATACTCTAATATCTAATTAATACAATCATGTAAACTATAATCCAATAAGTAAGTAATGCAATTATAGTTCCATTCCCAGTAACACAATCAGAGTCCAATATCTAAGTAATAAAATTATTCATACCATAGCCCACGATCTCAGTAATACAATCATAGTCCAATATCTAAGTAATACAATCATGTATGCCATAACTAAAATATCTAAGTAATATAAGCCTAGTGCAATATCTAAGTATTAACATCATAGTCCCATATCTCAGTTATACAATCATGTATACCATAGTCCAATATCTAAGTAATGCAATCATGTATACTATATTCTAATATGTAAGTAATACAATTATAGTCCCATTTCCAAGTAACACAATCATAGTCCAATATCTAAGTAATACAATCCTAGCTCCATATCTAATTAATAAAATCATTTATACCATAGCCATAGCCAAATATCTAAGTAATGTTATCCTAGTTCCATATCTAAGTAATTAAATTGTAGTACCATATCTCAGTAATACAATCATGAATACCATAGTCAATATCTCAGTAATACAATCACGAATAACATAGTCCAATATCTAAGTAATACAATCACAGTCCCATATCTAATTTTAACAGCCATG